CTGTGCTCTGGTTAGTGGCATTCTACTCTATCTAATTTTTGTGGGGATAGGATTTTACCTGGTCTTTATGTAATATTGCTTTGATGCATTGGTAGGACAGCTCTTCAAGCAAATTTTGCACTAATTTCAAATAAATTTGGTGAGCCTAATCTACAGAAGTACTGAATCATGAAGAAATGAAAACAACTGAAATAGAATTTTGTCATTAATAGACTTCTCCTGTATTGATCCAATTCCAAGAAAATACTTGTGAAGTTATAAGGTATTCTGACTTCAGGAAAGTCACACAGCTATCAAGGAAAGGACAACTAGTAGAGAAAACTGCTATACAATTATGACCTAAAAATGAGTGAAGTTAAAAGGCTGTGTTCTTGATATAATTGTGAAATTATATGTTTTAATGTAGCTGAAATGATATTAAAGCACCACAATATTAAAATAACTGGCACATTTAACTTTCTGTTTTAGTCAATTCTTCTGAAAAAGAAACTTGAAGAGCATCTGTAAGTAATAAAGTTTTCCATATTTTCTTTGCCATATGAAACAATCTGTTTTCCATATGCTGAGCAGGTGCTTAGCCATTAACAACAGCAGTGGGAAGGCATTAGTGCATTTGGAAGATATATAAGGAAAAGAAATGCAGATAGCTCAGGAATATTAAGGGGATCTGTTATTCAGGCAGTATTTCCATTTCTTATAGAAAGCCTTTGCCAAATTAAAAAGGATTATAAAAGAACTACCATTTTCTGGTGGTTAGAAAACTTTGTTTAAAATTGTGTGAAGCTTAAATTAAGAGGAATTTTGTTCTGAGGAAAACATTTTAATGTAAGCAAGATTTACCCACTTACACTTTAGTATACATTATGGACTAAAAGGTAACACTTTAGTGAGTGTGATCATTTTGTTCTACTATTTCTGCATTGCTTTTAATTTTACACTTTTTTTAAACTGCAAGTTTTACTTTTGTATTGAAGAATTGTTTGCTTGTTAACTGGCTTACCAGAAAGTGTAGTCTCTCTGTTACTTTGGGATTTTTAAGCCATTCTTCCCTAATATTATCACAGCTATCGATATTGTACACTTCTAACATGATTTGTACCATTTATTGTAAATTCTAAAGTAAGTGTATAGAAGTGTATAATTCTGGATCAAGAATAGAGCTGTCTGGTGTTATAACTCTGCCAAAAGTCAACTATGCTCCCAGAAATATAGAATATTCGGGGGGAGGTTGTATCACTTAGTGTTCATTCAAGCAGGATAAGAGTATTGGAAAAAATAATATGTGCTTTTATGGTTTGTAACAGTGAGAAACTTCATGAAGCTAACAATGAGCTACAGAAAAAACGAGCTATTATTGAGGATTTGGAACCAAGATGCAATAACAGTTGTGAGTTTTCTGATATGAATTCCATTTCTTTTAATTGTAAAATGTTTTGCATGCAGGGAAAGATCTTTAATTATAATATCTATAAAGGCTGTAAGAAAACAAAATGTATGTTTTAAGTGGTAGTGATATGTGTGTTGTTAATTATTCTGGAAGCTGCAGTGACCAAAAAGATGCTACTAATTCTTGAGATGCAGCAGATCACATTTTAGAGCCATGGCAAAGAATGATGATGTCCACAGAAATGTTGAGTCAGTATAGTTTATCTGTCATTTAACCTCAGCTGTTCAGAACTGTTTTCTGAAAATAGTATTATGTCTCCTAACATCTTATGTTAAAAAATCCTTGCTGCCATCTCCATTTTATTTTTACTCCCAATATATGTTACTTCAATATGTTTTCAGATTATAGAGTGGAATTGTGCTGTAACTTGAGAAAGTTTTTGGACACTGGTCAATGATAATGTAGCTTTTGGGCCATTTTGGTCATATCACAGAAAGACCTCAGCACCCAGTTGTAAATGACTGAAAGGTACATCATTGATGGCTACCAGCATTTGCCTTTTTTACACTGGGAAGGCTTGGAAAATAATAAATTGTCTCTTACTTTTTTCAAGTAGCAATGTCAGCTTCTCTTGGAAGCACTAAAGCAATTTTATTCATGAAAAGGTCTGGGAGGATTGAAATATCATTTTGGTATTCATTATGTAATAGCTTGGTAAATTTTAGATCCAGAAGGTTTTAATTAGTGTCCAGTTAAAACCACAGAACAATATTACATGTTACAAAATTCTACATCTTAGAAAAAGATAGAACAACTGGAGATGAAGTTCAGGGGCTCTGTGGGTAGCTGATGAGTATGTAATCCTTCCATACTTACTATGCCTCAGTTGGAGGAAGGGGCATTTAATAGCAGAAAGGGGCCCAGTTTTCTGAGTACCTAAGCTCTAAAATTTAGAGCATATTAAGGTTTCTCTGATTGGCTTACTGGAATTGCAAGTTGCTTGTGAAAAACCCTGGGCTGAGCTTCTATCTTGATATGACAAAAGCAGTTATAGTAGTTGGACTTCTTCCTTTGTTTCCATGAATAGGATAAAAGGTGTGTGAGTTCTTTCTTTGGATTCTTTTAACTGGCCTGAATTATGGCCAAGATGTTTGGACATTATGCCAGAATCATGCAAAATTTTGCAAAATGGAGTCTTGACGACTACCTGCAAGTGGTTCCATAAACTGATCAGTGGAAGAAATCTTATGTTACCCAGTCATCATCTTAGTGTTTTCCTAATGCTTAGAGAGAAAATTGTAAATAAGACAAACATAAATGAATATTACAAAATGAGGTTGCAAAATAGATGGATTAAGAGTTGTCCAATATCTATCATTGTCTGAGAGCCAGACACCATTGTTATATACTGCTTGATCAATGATGACCAAATTGATCTTTCTCTGAGATCCGAGTAGGACATATAGCTTGCATAAGTAGTAGTGCCTTGGCCCATTCTTAAATCAACAAAGGAAATTGGCTGTACAGTGAAAGTGTCCTGTTGGTCTGCATTGCTGCTTGAGGATGATGTGAAGAAAACATAATTGGAGTGTTTTCATGTCACAATTTTGATGAATTTTATTCATTATTATCTTTGGGAAGATATGAGCAAGAATCTTGCTTGTCACTTAGGATTGTTAAACTTTTTTTCATTTGACCGACAATATACCAAAATGTTTTTGAACATATACTATATTAATAAACTTGAATTTTTAAGTTAATATCTACCAAATAATGGCATTGATTTATGACACTTTCTCTGTATTTTTTCATAATATAAGAAGGCAAAGTTGCATACAGAATGATTATTTAACAAGATTATATAGTGGAGTTGTTGAATATAGTCTGAGTTGTTGAATAATTAAACTTATTGTGTCCACTGCATCAATATGCATTTTTCATTCCTTACATAAACTTTTCTTAACTGAAATAAAGTAAGTCCTAGCTCTGGGTTTAATGTCTATTTAAATGCATGAAAATAAATGTAATGTAATTATTTTATTCTCCAATCCTGACATAAAGCACTCAGAATTGAAGAATTACAAGAAGCTTTGCGGAAAAAGGACGAAGAAATGAAGCAAATGGAAGAGCGATACAAAAAGTATTTGGAAAAGGCCAAGAGCGTAAGTTTCTGGGTTCCAAGTTAAGGTTCCTTCCCTAACAGGCTGAACATTTCCTCCCTAACATTTCCACTCTGCAGGAATAACAGTAAATCGTCTATACTTGTGACCATCCCCTTTTACTATCTACCCAAAACCCTTTGTGCTACCTCTGTACATGTGTACCCCACTGTTACAGATTCATATCAGAGGGTTACCCAGACAAAGCTACTTAAGGGTGCCATTTGATAACATAGAGAGGGTGTTAAACCCTTCCTGAAGTTGTGATAACTTGTTTCTTGGTGGGAGTTCTTCCAGACTCATCAGTGAGTGATACAGTTCAGCTGAAGACATGTCCATGCTAGGACTGCTTAAGTGATCTAGAAATAACCAGAATAGCTGTGCTTTATTTCAGAATCATAAAACCACCCACATACACCAACTGAAAGAGCAATCTCTGCAGATAAAAGTGTTGTTTCATTGATACATGTGCATGGGAATTCTGGCACAGTTGTCATGAAGAGTCATGCTTCTCTGTACTTGAAATGAGTGTCGCTCTGCCACCAAGAGCACAACTGAACAGGCACAACTGAACCAACAAACTGCTTTTATCAGTGTGGCTTGCTTTGCTGGAGACTAAATGGGTGGAGGGAGGAAGAGAGGTTTGGGGTTTTTTCCTTTCACAGGTACAAAGCAGAATATTTGTCAGCTTATCTGCATCCATGCTCTGTGTAGTTGGGGGGGGTGTAGGCTTCTCATAGTGCTTGATCAGGAATGTCTCCCTCATTTAGAGCATACAAGTTGATATCCCTTTTTACAAATGTGGCTTTTAGCTGCTATAGATTTTGATGAGTTTTAACTGTTCATCCTTTTTCATTTACTTATTTATTTATTGTTCTGCTAAGCTCTTTGCCTCAGTTATAACCCTGAGCTCACTGTCAGGAGGCAATTACGCATGTGCCACAGAGTCCTCTTTATCAGTTTACATTTTTTTTTGTCTCTTGCCCTTGGTTTCTATTAATTTTCTGGATCAATTAACTATTTTAGAAACCCTCTTAGTACATATTATTTTATCAATGGTTTTTCCAAATAAAATAATATTTCTAACTGAGCCACCTATGGGAGCTCTACTCACTTTCTACATTTCTATCTGCATTTTCTATTTAATATGAGGTGGGTTTTTTTTTTGGAGAGAATTTGACTAATATTCAAGTATGATATTCAGGATATGGGTATACTACTAGCCTTATAATGGCAATATAATAGCCTCCATCCTAGCTACTATTCTCCTCTTAATATACCCTGAAATTTCATTTGGGCTTCTTAAAAGCATATCAATGTTCTATTTGATCTATTCATGGTGATATCAAGATCTCAGAGATTACTGAGTTAGAGTTGAATTAGAATCCATAAATGAGTTTCTAATCTGACAACTTTACCCCTCCTTCCCTTGTAGCTACATAATATCTTTAATAGCTCTTTGTGAGACACTTAAAAGGCTTTTTGGAAAACTAAACAAATTATATTTGTCTCTTCTGTTTTACACATGATGCTGACTATTCCTCAAATTATTCTAATGAGTGAGAGGGGTATGATTTCTCCCCGCAAAATAAGAACTGCTGGTTTGTGTATGTTGTGTTAACCTAGGATGTTTTATATGACAATAGTTTTAAATTTTTTTCACCTAGTTTGCCTGTTTGTGGTCTTCCCATGGCCTTTCACTGCTCTCTTTTATAAAGATGGACACAATCATTATTGCTGTCCACTATAGAAGCTAAGTCGAAATCAAGTGTGTGTTTCCTTAGAAACAAATTTAGTACACTTCATTATGAATTTTCTTCCATGAGTACCATCCAGTAAAGATGGCTTATTAAAATCTAAAGGATTGTTTTATTTCAGCATGTCCTTTTGGACGCTTCATTTTCTGTTATGACCTTGTCCTCATTACCTGGGCAGGATTCTGAAATAGGTAGTAAAGCAGATATGAAGTCTCTCTCTATACACTCATGTGTTCTTAAAAAGTTTTCAGTTATTTTTCTAGGACAAACTTAGACATCTAGGCCTCTTACTGGACTCGTTCTTGATTTAGCTCAGTGTTTGTTAGCGCTCATGCTGCCTGTGATGGGTGCCACATAAGAATGTAGCCAGCTGTTCCCTCATCTTAGTGGCAGAAACTTCATCACACGTGCACTACCATGGATTCTTCTTGATTATAGCAAAACTTTCTAAAATTAGCAGTACTGGTACTCCAAGTCCCTGAATCACAGCCTCTTTCCAGACAGAAGTAGTCCTTGAGTTCACAGTGAGGAGTGAGTCGAGGGGAAAACAGGTAATCCTTAACTATAAAGACAAAAAGGCTTCAAGGAAACGTTTCCTATACTCTAGCCCCATGGCAGTGCAGAATGGGGGTAGGAGCTGCTTCCTTGTGTCCAAGATATTGAACCTCTGAGGTCTTCCTTTCTCCTATCAACATGTTTGTTTGACAGTCCTGTTAGAGCACATTTCAGATGCTATGTGACACTTCATGATTGGTGTTCAGAGACAGTCTCCATCATCCTGGCTGACAAAGTATTTAGAACCTCTGCCTTATTAGAAGAGAGATGTGATTGTATCATATGAGTTAGCCTTTTAAAATTACACATTCTTCTGTTTGACATTTTAAATGCCATTTTACATTATTGTATTGACATGTTTTAAGTCACTTCTGTGTCTCAACCTGCCTTACATGGTTAGAATGCCTTGATGCCTTTTGTAGCATTTAATTAAAAACAAACTGGTTTTCCTCTCACAGGTTATCCGCACCTTAGATCCTAAACAAAACCAGGGTGCAGCTCCTGAGATTCAGGCTCTGAAAAATCAGTTGCAAGAACGGGACAGAATGTTCCATTCATTAGAGGTAATAATCTCCATGTTTCCCAGTAGATTTTTTGTTTCCTCAATATTTTGGGAGTATAGACTGTGCTTCTCTAATACTTCCTGTCCTCTGCAGGTAAACAGTTTTAAATATATGCTTTTTTGTTTTGTTTTAGAAAGAATATGAGAAAACAAAGAGTCAAAGAGAAATGGAGGAGAAGTTTATTGTTAGTGCCTGGTATAATATGGTAAGAATCTCCAAACTTTAAAAAGATAAAAAGGTGAATCTTGGTTGTTTCTGTGGTATTTATCATAGTCTTCATTTATTTATAATATTTTTGTGTGCAAAGTATTTTCAAATACATATGTAGATGAAAGCATTCTTTTAGTTAACATTATATAACAGTTAACCTTGTAGTAAACAAAATAAACTCGTAAAAGGCTGAAAGCAGTCATATTGAAAGAAGCAAATTAAACCTGAATTCAGAATATAAAAAACAAGGTGATTGTTATTTTCAAGTTTCAAAATCAGAAGCATCACTTTGTGGGGGGAAGGAAGCCTCAATTTTCTGTTTTGTAATTCCAGCCCTTTAGTTATACTGACTTCTAATATTCAAATTCATTTTTTTCACCCCCGATCTTCTGCTTGTTTCTTTTTCATTAGAGTGGCAATGCAGATAGTTTTGTGCACACCTTTCCAATTCATCTTGTGGCATTTACCAAGCCATACATATTTGGGTCTTTTATTCAGTTTTTCCCATATGAAAATGAGATCCCATATGAAAATGAGATCCAAGTTTAAGACCAATGAGGAATCCAATTGAAGGGCACAAGAGAATAATTATGATTATAGTATTTGAAAGCGAGACAGCTCATTGCTGCAGTAAGCACTCTGGGAGGCTACTCCCTTAACTTGGGGGCAAGTTTACTCCCATGCTATGGGTGAGTGCAAGGGCCAAGCCTCACTTATGCTATTCAAAGCATAAGGGAATTATATATGCAACCACACAGTGTTGGACCTCTGTGCAGGGAGACTTTCACCTTCAGCAAATGTGTTCAAGACTTACCTTTGATAGGATGTGGCTGCTTTGAAATGGCTCTCCTGATAAGAGTCCCTGACCCCCTGTAGCATGCATCTGTTTCATCATAGAGGTTAAATCACTCCACATTGTCTTCCCTTGGAAGAGTTTCCTTCTTGCTATTTTATGTTCCTGTTATGTCCATGAGTAGGAGGGCAAAATGGTGTTTAAACAGAGCATTTGAATCCTTTTGGTATTGAAGACACTTTCAGGTGACCTGGCGCCCTTGTCTGATTTCATAACAGTCCCACTGGTGAGCAGAAGACAAGGCTGAGCTGAGAGGTATGGTTCAGTAGCCTGACTGTCATGTGGACTGAGGGCTGACAGCTTTACCTGCTTCTTCCTTTTAGTTAGTCTCTGCTTTTATCTACAACCCATCATAGCTTCTCTCATCTCATACTGGTCAGGGTCTTCCTTATGTTTTCTTCTTTTTCCTGCCATTCAACAGTGAGAATATTTCATAGGTCCTAGCTTCTGATAAAAACATAATTTCTCTCAAAATCACAGAATCACAGAATAGTTGAGGTTGTAAGGGACCCCTGGAGATTATCTGGTCCAACTCCCCTGCTCAAGCAGGATCACCTAGAGCAGGCTGCCCAGGAGCATGTCGAGATGGCTTTTGAATATCTCCAAGGATGGAGACTCCACAACCTCTCTGGGCAACCTGTTCCAGTGCTTGACCACCCTCACTGTAAAAAAATGTTTTTTCTTATGTTTAAATGCAGTTTCTTGTATTTCATTTTGTGCCCATTGCCTCTTGTCCATTCAGTGGATAACTCTGAGAAGAGTCTGGCCCTGTCCTCTTGACACCCTCCCTTCAGAAACTTGAACACATTGATAAGATTTCCCCCCCCCGCCCCCGCGCCGTTCCTTCTCCAGGCTGAACAGTCCCAGCTCTCTCAGACTCTCCTTGTATGAGAGATGCTCCAGTCCCTTATTCGTCTTTGTGGCCATTTGCTGGGCTCACTCCAGTAGCTCCATGTCTCTCTTGTACTGGGGAGCCCAGAACTGGACACAGCGCTCCAGAAGCGACCTCACCACGGCTGAGTAGAGGGGGAGGATCACCTCCCTTGACCTGCTGGCAATGCTCTGCCTAATGCATCCCTGGATGCTGTTGACCACCTTTTCCCCAAAGGCACATTTCTGGCTCATGTTCAACTTGCTGTCCACCAGCACCAAAATATCCTCTTGCCATTTACAGTAAGTTAGTATTTTCATAGAGCATGAAAATAATTGAGAAGCACCCTTCTAGCTCAACTTCGGAGGGGATAGCTTTCAAAAGTTTTGTCCAAGCACCATGTGTTCATGTGCAGAAAAGCGTGTTCAAGATCTGGCACATTGGGAGTCTCTTTCCTCAAGAATTACTGCAAGCTTGCATGATGATAAAAAGTGAACTCATTTAAAAGGCTCAGGAAGAATGTCTTAGCCCCATCCTTGAAAATATAATGCTTGAAATTCAAACCGGGTTAGTTGGTATTGATGAAGAAGTGATAATAAACAAATTGTAAATGAGGTGTTCACTGTTATTTGTTGGTATTCACTGATAAGTTTCTCTTTATAGGGAATGACTCTGCATAAAAAAGCAGCAGAAGACAGACTGGCTAGTACAGGCTCAGGACAGTCCTTCCTGGCTAGACAAAGGCAAGCCACGAGCACAAGGAGATCTTACCCTGGTCATGTCCAGCCAGCAACAGCAAGGTAGAGAAGCGTTGCCTTTAAGAAAGAAAATTACCCTGTGATCCAGGCCACTTCCGTTGCACATGATGTTTCAGGAAACTCAACCAGTATCCTATCTTTTTGTCCCTTGTAACCACTGTTATTTCTCAGTTCAAAAGGGGGCTTTATTATGGTTTCTCATTGTTCTAATACCTTTTGCTCATGTTTTTTGGAGTCTGTCACTTGCTCTCTGCCTTTTTGATTGTGCCAAAGTTTTGAAAAAACTCTAGAAAAGTTTTGTATAATAATGGAGTCTTTTTAATTTGTATGAAGCCTCATCTCTTCTGAAAAGCCTGACATAGGCTGTGTAGCAAACAAATTTATTGTCACAGTTGATACATTTGTATCTACATGTATTATCCTATAACGTTGTTGTGAAATGTGTTTGCAGCCAAAAGAACTTAACATTGGCAATGAGAGTAACCTAGCTGCATCCTTTGCTATCTCATTTAGGATGTTTATGATTTAAAAAGACAAAAAAGCAAACAAAAAATAAAAAACCCAACCCCCCCACCCATTTTCTAGATACAGAGGTTCCTCCTATTCTTGATGCTTGGCATCAAGTTTGATTAACTTGATTTTTTTGTAAATATGGTAATTAGAAAAAATTATCTCACCACCTGATTTTCCTTTAGTTAGTCATTCTGAGGAAGAATATCCTGAATGTCTTTCAAGTTTTTTCCTACAAAGCAAACAATACTGGATTTCATTCCTGTTATGAAGATATTTTTCCCCAAACTTCCCCCCCACCACCCCCAGATTGAGGGGGGAGTATTTTTGCACTCAAAGTCAGATATTTAACTGGCTTTTAGGGTGTGTGCATATGTGTCTTTTAGGTAGTATGTGGACCCTGTGTTTAGCAGTAATTTTGTATTGACAAACTTTGACACCTCCAAACCAAGCTTGGCTAATTTTGCAGTCTTTTTCCCTCATCTGTACTGTTTGAATAAAGATAGAAAGAGGTTCCTCTGTCAGGATATACTTATATAAGTGTGTATATTTCTGCAAGTCTTCAGTATTCATACTGCAGGAATATCACCTACAAAGTAGTTTTGAGAGCTGAATTACAACTGAAGTGTGATCTCAGGAAATCAAGTGCTTAAGAAACAACCTTTTCAGAAACCCTTCCTTAGAATGACTGTATTAGCTAAAGCTGGAAATATGACACATGGGTATATTTTTCTGTTTAAAAAAAAGGTGAATCATTACAAACTTAACATAAAAAGATTAGGTAAGCAAGGAATTTGAGTGGGGATTTGAGCCAGGCAGATTGCACACAGCTCAAGTACACTTTCTCTTCCAGACCTGAGCAGTCCAGCTCCCTTCTGGATTGGAAAAAATATTGCTTTCCTACTTTGTGCCTTTCATGAGGAGAAAGAAGTGAAATTTTGCCTGGTCTCAGGGTGGGGTAGGAGCCCTTCCTATAGCAAGGGACAAATCTCACTTGCACTCAGAACATCTCCAGAAGCTAACTTCATGTCAGCTGGGGGTAGGGTGAAGAGAGAGGTGTCAGATTATACATAGGATCCTAGCAACATCTGGTTGCCACTCTAAGGAATTTGAGAGCTTTCTAGCATATTCAATTGTGTTGCCTTGCTCCTGTGACATTTCTTCCCTCTCTGGAAGTCCAGAAAAGCACAAGGAGCTTGTGAGTGACCTCTGCAGGCAATAAGTAAAAATAAGTGGTGATTTGCTCAGTTTGGAGTGAAAGGAGGAAGAAGATGCAAGCACCCATTCCAGGAAACTTGTTGAATACAAAAATGTGTATCAGTATGTCTGCCTGCATGCTGCTTTTTAGCTGTAGTGTGAAAACTGTTTGAAACAGAATCCTGAGCTCTTGGAACTGATATATATTTTTTAATTAACTTTGAGTTGCTGTTGACTATTTGAGGTTTCACCCTATGCGAATAAGACTGAAGTTGTCTTATCAGCCATGCCATCCTCAGACTTCCTGCATCTGATCCAGCGAATTCCTGGAGATCTTGTCTTTGCTGCCAGCTTCACTGCAGTATTTGGAGAATTTGAGGACTTCTGATTTTGTTCTTTTGTTCTTTTTTCCTTTACTTTCATGGGTTCATTGAAAACTGAGACACAAAGGTCCTTTTAAAAATGTAGCAACTCATTAAATTAGTGAATGAATGAGTATCGATTGAAAAGCCCTAGAAAACTTGGCAAACCAGGCAATCCCACAGGACATCAGAGGAACACCTGGCAGTAGAATCAAGGCAGCTTTCCAAACAAATTGTTTCAGATCAAACCACAGCTGATGACTCAGCAGGCACTCATGGTAAATGCTGCAGTGAAACCCTCATCTGTGGAAGCTGGAGGGTGCCTTTGCTATTAGAGCATGGATTTCACCCTCTATTTGTAGGGCCTTGCTAAGTCAGTGGGATTCTATTAGTTGGCCATGATGGCAAATCAATAAATTCCTCTGCTGCCGTTTACTGTGTATATGCAAAATTATTTGGAAAACTGATATCATAGCCTTCACTCTCCTTAGCACTGTGTTGATTCCAGACTGAAAGTAGATTCCATCTGACAAGCATAGAAAAATCTCTTGGTGCTGTTCTGTTGCCTCTGATCTCAGAGCATGAGCCAGCCAACGTGAAAAGTGTTGCGGCGGGGGGCAGGGCAGTCAGGAAACCTTTCCTGTCTGGTGGCAGCATTATTCATGGCTTGGCCTTGGAGTGGTTCTTGACTGTCAGATAGACTATCATATTTCAGAGAGCAACATGGTTAATTTAATCTTTACAGAAGCAGCATTTCCAATCTCTGGTTCCAGCTGTGAGTTCTCCAGTTGTGTCCAGGTCTTTGCTTTTGTTGTGTCATTTCCAGGTTTGTTCTTGAAAATTTGCTTATAGATTGCACATGTTACAAAATTCACAACACAACAACTTTTCTAGGTGCGAAAACGTGCTGCCCCCAGTTCAGAAACAACATTGGCTGTCTGCTGCTCAGCCACTGTGTTTCCACATCATGCTAATTTATCGGCACTTGGAAGAGCTGTTAACTGTTGTAACATGGCACAAATCTGAACTATTGCAACAGCAGATATTTCCAAAGGTAGGAAGTAATGTATGAGATAAGCAAACTAAATGTGGCTCTCCTGTTACAAAAAGAAAGAGCTTGCTTTTCTGGCAGTGATTATTCTGCAAGTGGAACTTGAATCTCTAATGATGAAGTCAACTTTTTAAGAGAAAATAAAATTAATATGAAGACTGATTGTTAGCATGATCATTAAATTAGCAGAATTTTAAGAGAGCATCCCAAACCGAGTAACATGTATGGACTTATATAATAGGTGAAGGGAAAGCATCAGACATTCAGTTGCGACTTGAATAAAGCATTTTTATATAGTTCTCAATTTAAAATATTATGTAAGCAATTCTAGTTGGATTGAATTGAATTGTTCATCTAGAGGATGAACATATTTCCTGGGGATATCAGTGGTATTGAGAGGTGTGTTAGTTTTGATTTATCAATGTCAGTCAAAATTTTGCAATAGTAATGAACATGTCATAGAATGGCCGCATATTTTTTAGAATTTATAATAATCTTTGTGCTCTGGGATTGAAAGAGCTATGAAAAATGCAAAGTGGTGTTAATACACTTATAGAGGATATTATGTTGGGAGGCTCTTTTAAAAAGTCAAAAGAAAACAGCATGCGGGGGGGGGGGG